TCCTCCCTACGTACATCTGTAATGTTATCTCTAATCAAATACACCACTCCTCCTCCTCTCGTCCCCCTTTCTATCCTTCCCATAGCATCTATACCCTGGAACATTAAGCTGCCAGTCCTGTCCATCCCCGAGCCACGTTGCTGTGATTGCTTTGACATCCGAGGTCTTGCTGCATTTGAACAAGGACTGCTTCAGTATCTTAGACATCTCCAATGGTGCTGAACATTGTGCAACCATTGGCAAACATTCCCACCTCTGACCTCATGATGGAGGGAAGGTCATTGATGAAGTAGCTGAAAATGGTTGGGCCGAGGACACTACCCTGAGGAACTCCTGCAGAGATGTCCTGGAGCTGACTGCCCTCCAAAAACAGCAGCCATATTCTTATGTGCCAGGTATGAGTCAAACTGGGGGAGAATTTGTCTCCAATTCCCACTGACTCCAGTTTTGCGACGACTCCTTGATGCCACATTCTGTCAAGTGTGGCTTTGACATCAAGAGCAGTCACTCTCACCTCACCTCTGGATTTCAACTCTTTTGTCCAAACTTGAACCAAGGCTATATTGAGGTAAGGAGCTGACTGGTCCTGGCAGAATCCAAACTGGGTGTTGGTGAGCAGATTATCACTAAGTAGTGCTGCTTGATAGCATTGCTGATGACACTTTCCATCACGTTATTGATGATCCAAGAGTAGACTGATTGGGGGTAATAGCTGAGGTGGATATTTTACAATTAATTCATGGGACGTGGACATTGCTGGCCATGCCACTATTTATTGCCCTTTCCCAATTGCCCAGAAGGCAGTTGACAATTAACCACATTGTTGTAGTTCTGGAGTGACATGTAAACCAAACCGGGTTGGGATGGCAGATTTCCTTCCCTAATGGACCAGATGAGTTTTTCCCCACAAACAACAACGGTTTCATGGTCATCATTAGATTCTTAATCCCAGATTCTTTTTTTATTGAATTCAAATTCTACCATCTGCCATGGTGAGAATTGATCCAGGACATTACCTGGGTCACTGGATTAATACTTTAGTGATAATAGCACTAGGCCATCGCCTTCCATTTTGTCCTGCTTTTTGCGTACAGGAGATGCGTGGGCAATTTTCCACATTATCGTTTAGGTGTTCAGTGTCATAGTGGCACTGGAATGGCTTGGCTGTAGGCATGGCATGTTTGGAGCGCAAGTCATAGAGTCATACAGCATGGAAACAGATCCTTTGGTCCAATTAGTCCATGTTAACCATGTTTTCAAACTAAACTAGTCCCACTTGCCTGTGTTTGGCCCATATTCCTCCAAATCTTTCCTATTCATGTACTTATTTAAATGACTTTTAAATACTCTTACCGTACCTGCATCCACCACTTTCTCTGGCAGTTCATTCCACATACGAACCACTCTGTGTAAAAAAAGTTGGCCCTTGTGTCCTTTCTATAACTTTCTCCTCTCACCTTTAGTTTGAACTCCCCCACTCTGGGGAAAAGACTGTTGTTATATTCACCTTACCTATGCCCCTTATGATTTTATAAACCTTTAATAAGGTCATCCCTCAACCTCCTATACGCCAGTGAAAAACATCCTAGCCTATCCAGCCTACCTTTATAACTCAAACCTTCCATTCCCGGCAACATTCTGGTAACCCTCTCCAATTTAATAACATCCTGCACATAGCAGGGCAGCCAGAACTGTAGTCAGTACTCCAGAAGAGGCCTCACCAACGTCCTATACAACCTCAACATGACACCCCAACTCCTATACTCAAAAGGTCTGAGCAATGCAGGCTAGTATGCTAAACACCTTCTTAAGCACCCTGTCTACATGTGATGCAAATTTCAAAGAATTGTGTACCTGAAACTCTAGGTCTCTCTGTTTTACAATGCTACCCAGGGCCCTACCATTAACTGTATAAGTCCTGCCTTTGTTTGTTTTACCAAAATGCAATACCGCATATTTATCCAAATTAAACTCCATCTGCCACTCCTCAGCCCATCGACCCAATTGATCAAGATTTCTTTGTAATCTTAGATAACCTTCTTCACTGTTCACTACACCACCAATCTTGGTGTCATCCGCAATCTTACTAACCATGTCTCCTAAATTCTCATCCAAATCATTTGTACAAATGACAAACTACTATGGACCCAGTACTGCAGAACACCACTGGTCACAGGCCTCCAGTCTGAAAAACAACCTTCTATCACCACCCTCTGTTTCCTACCTTCCAGCCAATTTTGTATCAAATTGGCGAGCTCTCCCTGAATCCCATGTGATCTAAATTTACTAATTAGTCTCCCATGCAGAACCTTGTCAAAGGCTTTACTAAAGTCCATGAAAACAACGTCTACCACTCTGCCACCTATCTTTTTGGTTACTTTTTTAAAACACTCAATCAAGTTTGGCAGTCTTCAATGTCATCATATTGTCGAGGCCCAAAGCCTTTGTGGCATCCAGCTTCTCCAACTGTTTCTTGATATCACCATGGACTGAATTGGCTGAAGACTGCGACAGGGAACTTTTGAGGGGGTCAAGGTGGATCATCCACTTAACACTACTGGCTGAAAATTGTTGCAAATGCTTCATCCTTTCCTTTTGCACTGATGTTCTGGGCTCTGGCATTATTGAAGATGGCATATTTGTGGAGCTTCCTCCTCCAGTAAGTTATTTAATTGTCTACCGCTATTCACAACTGGATGTGGCAGGGCTGCAGAGCTTCAGTAGGATTCATTGGTTGTGGGATCACTCAGCTCTATCGCTTGCTGTTTCTCTTGTTTGGCACACAAATAGATTATTTTAATTCATTCGTTGGATGTGGGTGGCCAGGCCAGCATTTATTGCTCATCCTAACTGCCCAGTGGCAATGGCAGATATACAAAGGGATCTTGACATGCAAGTCCATAGCTCCCTGAAAGTGCAAATACAAGTGGATAAGGTAGTAAAGAAGACATACAGCATGTTTGCCTTCATTGGTCAGTGCATTGAGTATAAAAAGTTGGCAAGCCATGTTGCAGCTGTATTAAAAAACTGCAGTTAGGTCACATTTGGAGTTTTTTGTGCAGTTCTGATCACCACGCTGTTGGAAAATTGTGAATGCTTTGGAGAGGGTGTATAAGAGGTTTACCAAGGCGTTGATTGGATTGGAGTGTATTCGCTATAAGCAGAGGTCAGACAAACTTAGATTCTTCTTGCTAGAGCGTTGGAAGCTGAGGACCAACTTGACAGGAAGTATATAAAATTATCAGAAGCATGGCCAGGGTGGATAGTCGGAGTCTCAATCCCAGATGTGAATGTCAAATATTAAGGACTATAAGTTGAAGGGGAGAGGTGGAAAGTTTAAAAGGAGATGTGCAAGGAATTTTCTTTTAACTCATGGAGGGTTGTAGATGCCTTGAACGCACTGCTGGGGAGGTGGTAGACGCAGATAGTGTAGTGAATGCAATGAGGTCAGCCAGCTGGACACTACAGAATATGAGTTCCCTGCGTGGACCAGATAACAGCCCCAGTTACGGGCTGATAAATAAAAAAAAAGTCAGAGACTGACACACTCTGGTACCGGACTCTGAATCAGGCAGTACTGAAGTCAAGGACTGCTCATGTGTAAATAATGGGAGACTTGATGACGGGATACTGGCCTCTGTGGAGTTATTTCAAATAGGATAGTAACATTTAAGAGGCATTTAGACAGACACATGAACACATGAGGCTGCAGATTGCAGTATGATTCTATTACTGCTGATGGCCCACAGTTCATCATGGATGCCAAGACTTGAGCTGCTAGATCTATGTAAAGGTTGTCCCATATAGCATGGTGATAGGGTTGGATGACAAGATGGTGAGTATCTTCAACGTGTAAGCAGGCATTTGTCTCCACAACAACGGTGGTCACTCTTACCAATGCTGTCCTGTACAGATGTATCTGTAGCCAGCAGATTGGTAAGGATGAGGTGAAGTATGTTTTCCCTCTTGTTGATTTCCTCATCACTTGCCATAGACACAATCTAGCAGCTATGTCCTTTAGGACCTAATCAACAGTGCTGCTGCTGAGCCACTCTTAATGGTGGACATGGAAATCCCTTACCCAGAGTACATTCTGTGCCTTTGCCATCCTCAGTGCTTCCTTTCAGTGTTGTTTAACATGGAGGAGTACTGATTCATCAGCTGAGGGAGGACAACAATCAGCAGGAGGTTTCCTTGCCCATGTTTAACCTGAAGCCATGCGACTTTGTGGGTCCAGAGTCAAAGTTGAGGACTCTGAGGGCAACTCCTTCCTGAATGTATACCACTGTGCTTACACTTCTGCTGCCTGTGTCCTGATGATGGGACAGGACATATTCAGGGATAGTGATGGTGGTGTCTGGGATGTTGTCTGTAACGTATGATTCCATGAGTATAACCGTGTCAGGCTGTTGCTTGACTAGTCAGCGAGACAGCTCTCCCAATTTTGGCACAAGCCCCCAGTTTTAGTAAAGAGGACTTTGCCGGGACAACAGGGCTGTTGTTGGCAGTTTTCGTTTCCAGCGCCAAAGTTGATGCTCAGTGGTCAGTCTGTTTCCATTTCTTTTTTCCTTTCTAGCAACTGTTAAAACTCAATGGCTTGCTCAGCCATTTCAGAGACCGGTTAAGAGTCAAACATATTGCTGTCACTTGTAGGCTAGACCAAGTAAGGTTGACAGTTTCCTTCTGTAAAGGATATTAGTGAACCAGATGGGTTTTTCCTGACAGTTGACAATGGCTGCATGGTCATCATCTCTGAATTCCAGATTTCTATTGAATTTAAATTCCACCACGTGCCATGGCAGGATTTGAACCTGGCTCCCCAGAACATTATCTGGATTATCTCATTATCTCAGAACATTATCTTTGGATTAATAGTTCAGCGATAATATTCACTGGGCCGAAGCCTCCCCCATATGTGTATACATAGCAATTTTAACTATATCCTCTCAATTTTATACATGCAACAAATGTAATTCGTCTGGTACCATAAACTCCTTTACCTTGTAGCATGTAATTCTCCAAGAAATCCTGGTGAGAGTTTATTTGCTCACCAGGATGTACATTTCGAAATTCCCTTCGAAGAGAAATTTTCCACCATCTCCAGATTACCTGTAGTTGGATGGAAATACAGATAGTCATAACATAACCTCCATATGCAAGGTTCACTTGGTCTTTACATCTGAATTTTGATAACAAATGTTTTTGAATTTGTCCTTCTACTCCCTTACAAATTTGTGCATAATTTTGATGAGGCTTCAATTTAAAATTAAATTAATATTAAATCACAATAAATTTATAATAAATCTTTAGAAGAAACTTTTCATGTTACAGAGTCTTGAATTGTTTCATTTCCTTTATTACTGATTTGGATAAAATGCTGAATCATGAATAGACACTGTGAGGGGTCAAATTCAACTTTGGTGAGGGCACAAGACAAGTAATGAAGCAGAAACTCATTACGAACCCTGTCTAATTTTCCTAATTATTGGAATTTCTGATGAGACCTAGAATTGACTAATCTGCTTCCTGAGGAGGGTTAGGAAATTTGGCATGTCTGTAAAGACTCTTAGCAATTTTTATAGATGCACCATAGAAAGCATTCTATCCAGATGTATCGTGTAGATGTATGGCAAATGCTCTGCCCAGGACCGTAAGAAACCACAGAGAGCTGTGAACACAGCCCAGTCCATTACACAAGCCAAGCCAACCTTCCATCCATCACATAAAAACTGAAAGAACTGTGGATGTTGTAAATCAGAAACAAAAACAGATGCTGCTGGAAAAGCTCAGCAGGTCTGGCAGCATCTGTGAAGAGAAATCAGAGTTAATGTTTTGGGTCCGGACCTGAAACATTAACTCTGATTTCTCTTTACAGATGCTGCCAGGCCTGCTGAGCTTTTCCAACAACTTCTGTTTTTGCTTTCATCCACGGACTTCATCTATACTTCTTGTTGCTTCGCAAAGGCAGCCAACATAATCAAAGATCCCTCCCACCTCGATTACAATCTCTTCCAACCTCTTCCGTCGGGCAGAAGATACAAAAACTTAAACACACGTGTCAACAGATTCAAGAATAGCTTCTTCCCCACTGTTATTAGACTTAATGGACTTCTCAAATTTTGAATTTAATGTTGATCCTGCTGTTTGTATACCTTCTCTGCAGCTTTAACATTGTATTCCTCACTCTATTCTATTACCCTTATGCACTTTGTATGGTATGATCTGCTGTACTGCACACAGGATAAAACTTTGCGCTATACCTAGGTTCATATGAGAATAATAAATCAAATCAAATCAAATCAAATCATGGAACCAGTGAAGCTGAAACGTGCAAGTTGAGGCATTCAACATGATGGAGTGAACATTAAAATTCTGCTGACAGTCAGGAGAGGGATAGAAGCTAAAAACATAAAATTAAGGAATCTTAGCTCTCAATTAGTATGTATTCTCTTCACAATATTTTAATAGTAACAGCTTTCAGGGCATGTCCCTGTCTTGTTGTAAAGATTCAGGACACATGGGGTTGCAATAGCACAATTAAGAGCCTGTTTTAAATTTAATGCTGGGCAGCTAGATTTTCCAAAGCATGCAATTAATAGTAGCAAAAGATGGTTGAGTAGGTGAGGGTTCTTTCCGGTACTGCTTGTGAGGTAGGAGGAGTATTAATGTTCCCCTGATCCTGCCAATCACAGCCTCTCCTTTCTACTGGGAGCAGCTGTGCCCTACTCTACCAAACTTTAATCTTTGACTCCACTCTTCTGAGTGGGAGATTCCAAATCCCCATGACCCAGCCAAGTCTTGACATTTCTTGTTAGGAACTGTTCCCAATGATCTCCAGATTTGAACTTTTACCACTGTTTTTTCTCTCCAGTAGCAGACCAGATCATTGTTAATCAGATTGTTAACTTTATTTGGACTTTGATACTTATGAGTTGAGGTTTTCCCTCTAACAATCTCATGCTCTTCCCATCTCATCATAAATATTCAAGCTAGCTCATATGTTGGCTCTGCAATTGAAGTTTAATTGGGATAAATGTGAGGTATTGCATTTTGATACAACAAACAAGGGTAGGGCTTATATAATTAATGGTCGAGCCTTAGGTAATGTTGTAGAACAAAGGGACCCAGGGGTGCAGTACATGATTCTTTGAAGTTTGTGTAACATATAGACAGGGTGGTTAAAAAGGCATTTGGCATGCTTGCCTTCATTGCTTAGTCCTTTGAGTTCAGGAATTGGGCAGGGATTGGAGGTTGTACAGAACATTGGTGAGGCCTCTTCTGGAATAGTGTGTCCAGTTCTGGTCGCCCAGTTATAGAAATCAGAAAAGATTTCCCAGGATATTGCCGGGTATGGAAGGTTTGAGTTATAAAGAAAGGCTGGATAGGCTGGGATCGTTTTGCCCAAGCGTAGGAGGTTCAGAAGTGACCATATAGAAGTGTATAAGATAATGAGGAGTATATATAGAGTTAATGAGTTGTCCTTTCCCTAGGATGGGGGATTTCAAGACTAGTGGACACATTTTTTTAAGGTGAGAGGAGAGAGATTTAGAAAAAAACATGAGGGGCAAATTTGTTTTCCCCACACAGGGTGGTTTGCGTGTGGAATGAACTTGCTGAGGAAATAGTGGATGTGGGTACATTACAATGTTTAAAAGACATTTGGATACATATATGAATAGGAAAGGTTTGGAGGGATATGGGCTAGGAGGAGGCAGGTGGGACTAGTTTAGTTTGGGAATATGTTCGGCATGGACTGGTTAGACCGAAAGGTTTGACTCTAATGACTCTGTCTTATTCGTATAGTTCAGTACATTTTTTGGTCTTCTTGCATATAGAACTTTTTTCCTGAAGGTATTCACAAAAGGTCCTTAGACAGCACCTTATAAACCCATGGACACTTCCAACTAGAAGGTCAAGTTCACCCCCAAGTCAATCACCAGCCTAACTTGGAAATACATCATTATTCCTTCACTGTTACTGGGTCAAAATCAGGAGATTCCTTCCCTAAAAGCATTGTGGTTCTATCAACAGCACAAGGCAGGTGATGGTATCGTGGTAATGTCACTGGACTAGAAATCCAGAACTCCATGTTAATATACTGGGAACGTGGGTTCAAAGCCCACGATTGCAGATCTGAATTTTGAAATCTCAAACCACCGTTGAGTATTCTAAAATCCCGTCTGATTCACTAATGTCTTTCCGGTAAGGAAGTCTGCCAACCTTACCTGCTCTGGCTGACACGTGGCTCCAGATGAACAGCAACTTGGTTGATTCTATGGGGAGGTGATGGCCTAGTGGTATTATTGCTGGACTTTTAATCCAGATCTGGGGAAGAGTCACTGGACCCAAAATATTAACTCTGTTTTCTTCTTCACAGGTGCTGCCAGACCTGCTGAGCTTTTCCAGCAACTTTGTTTTTGTTCCTGATTTACAGCATCTGCAGTTCTTTCGGTTTATTTTTTAATCCAGCGACCCAGGTAATGTTCTGGGGACCTGGGTTCAAATCCTGCCATGGCTGATGGTGGAATTTGAATTCAATAAAAATCCGGAATTAAGCATCTCGTGATGACCATGAATTCTTTGTCAATTGCCAGTAAAACCCATCGGGTTCACTAATGTCCTTTAGTGGCAATCACCATCCTTACCTGGTCTGGCCTACATGTGACTCCTCTGGGATATGTAATAAATGCTGGCCTAGCCAGTGATGCCAATATCCCATGAGTGATTAAAAAAACCCAACAATATTATGCATGACGAACTGGCCATTGGGTCGTGATCTCCTGGGTGTCCTTATATCTGCTACAAGTATAGCTGCAGTTAAGATATAATGACAGCAGACATTGTTAATTACAACTGGGAGACTATCAATGATAACTAAGACTTCTGGAAGATCATTGGAAGAAATGAGCATAAACAAAATGCTCAGGTGGTTGTGCAGGGGGTCCAGAGAAAAGAGAGAGCCGTGAATCATGAACTTTCACTCCACTCAGTACCTCTGCAGCAAAAGTGTGATGTTAGAGTACAGCTCCTGGCCCACATAAGGTAATGCTTAACACAGATATGACCATGAGGACACAAACTAGAGTCCTAGGAGATGGAAAGGCTCCATTTACCACTTCTTGATTCATTGAAAATAAGAAACAAAAAAGCAGCTTAACTGCCGGAGTACCACTTTTTATTTACATTTAAGTGGTCCTCCAATGATATCATTGAAGGAATACTAGGTTTAGGTTTGTTTACTTCAGATGCCACATGAAAATAAACCAAAGAGGAATTGACACTGAAGCTGGCGCTTATTTTCAATGTGCAGTGTCAGCCTGAAGCCTGTATTCACTTCTACAAGATTTCAACTTAGAATGTTGGAGCAAGAAACTGCACCATGAGTCCCAGCCAGGCTGCCAGATTCTCTGAAGACTTCCTGAACGTCCTGTTGGAAGTGATCAGAGTAGGAAGGGAAACCTAGATGTGCAAATGCATTGAGGTGAGGGTGGCATTTGGCATGATTTCTTTCATTGGTCAGTGCATTGAGTATAGGAGTTGGGAGGTCATGTTGCAGCTGTAAATGACACTGGTGAGGCCACTTTTAAAATATTGCATACAATTCTGGTCACCCTGCTATAAAAAGGACGCTGTTAAACTTGAGAGTGCAGAAAAGATTTATATAGATGTTGTGGGACTGAAGGGTTTGAGGTTGAGGGAGAAGCTGACTAGGCTGGGGCTTTTTTCCCCTGGAGTGTCAGAGGCTGTGGGTTAACCTTATTGAGGTTTATAAAATCATGAGGGGCATGGATAGGATGAATAGTCAAGGTCTATTTCCGAGGGTGGAGAAATCCAAAACTGGAGGGCATAGGTTTTGGGTGAGAGGGGAGAGATTTAAAAAGGATCTGAGGAGTAACTTTTTCACGCAGAGGATGCTACGTGCATGCCACAGAAAGTGGTGAAGGCTGCTACAATTACAACATTTAAAAGGCATCTGGATGGGTATATGAATAGGAAGGGTTTAGAGGATATGGGCCAAATGCTGGCAACTGGGACTAGGTTAGATTGGGATGTCTGGTCAGCACAGACAAGCTGGACTGAAGGGTCTGTTTCCATGCTGTATAACTCTA